GGCAATATAGAAATCCTGGACAGGACGCGTCCTGGGAAAATGGCATGTATGGTCACCCTAGCTAACCCTTCTCCTTTAGGGCAACCATTGTGTAGAATTTAGCACTAACCTCGATCAAACTCACCTGCCTTTTACTTTCGAGCAGTTCTGACCTTGATTAGCTTGTGATATTTATATGAGGGTTGGAGCAAAACTCAGGAAAGTGGACCTCGAGTGTAGCTAACCCTGCTCTTGGAGGGCTTGTTAAGATGTATTTGAATGGGGTTGGAGTAAATCTCTGAAGAAAAGTGGACCTTGAGGGCCAGAGTTGAGAATCACTAGTTTAAAATAAGGGTAGCCAACCTGGCTCCTTGAGGGCAACCATCCTCCAACCATAATCAAAAATATTTGAAGCTAATAAAAGTGCTCAGGATTACTTGAAAATAACAGGCAGGTGTGTTGAAGAAAGGTTGGAAGTTAAGTCTGCAGGAGGATAGGTAGACCGATAGGAGCAGCGTTGGCTACCCTTGCTTTAGAAATGGATTTCACAGAGTGTACTTTGATTTCGAAGACCCCTTGCTTCTGGTTCTGTCTCTTTACATGTCTGTTACCAGAGACCCATGCGGTTCTCCAGCCACTGATAGACATAGAGAAAGGGGAATTCTCTATTCCTGTGGTCGTATCAGACTCTGGCTCTCCTTCCCTTTCCTCTAATGCTCTGGTCAACGTGACTGTGTGTCCCTGTGACCGTTTCGGTGACTGCAAGAGCTACACCGCAGTCATCTTTGGAACCAAAACGGGAATAAGCTTCATTGCCCTTATGATTATTATGGGATGCATTGCTCTTCTGTTGTGTAAGTAAACACTATATTTATGTGAACATGCATAAGCTGTAGTATATTGGTAGTAGATATACTTGAAATTTGTTCTAATAAAGCTTTTTTTCCCAGTTCTGATTGTTCTTGCTGTGGCGGTGAAGGGCTGCACAAGGCAGAACATTAGAAAAGGAGGAGGTCTGCTGGTCGGAGCGTCTGATGATGACATCCGAGACAATGTCTTTCACTATGATGAGCAGGGAGGAGGAGAAGAGGATGAAGTAAGAGCAATGACACAAAATTGAATACATTTTACATGTAGATACAGTGTATTCTGAACTAGAT